TAAATAAGGTAATCTAGGATGAAAGAAAAGGTATTTTTAAAAAAGTGTTTACAGTATCAGTTTGTTCTTTTGACAGTAGTGACTATACATCATTTTTGAAATAAGGAAATCGCGCTGGAAACATCAGTACCCATAAAACATTTAGAAGGAAGTTAATCTATCAAAATTAAGTGTAAATAATTTAAAAATCCAACTCTGATATTTCAACTGTGTAAATACATTGAATCTGCAACACACTAGTGAACATGTCATTTTCAAGCACAGCTTTGATTATAAAAAATGTAAATGAAGATATTTGAAGTACAAACCAGGGCAAGCAAGAGGAATATTGTACTCATAAAACTAACAATCACAAAAACAACTGGTAAAATAAATGGGAGGTGATTATCAGAAAAAGCAAGCAACTTCCAGATTTGCTAGCAATTTCATACCTGATTTGATCAAATATTCTGATTTCTAAACACGTAACAGAGAGAAAGGGAAGTTCATTCACTGCAAAGTGAAATAAACTAGGATTCGAGTCTGAGGAGCCCGATTTAGGCATCGCATCAAACGTTTAAGGCTGAAAATAATGGTAGGGATAAGTCCAGCCACTGTCTTTTTTTGCCCAGTAGTTCTTGGAGTGCTGTGTGCGAGGCACAGATCTTACTTTGGCACTTGACCATCTGCAGCTGCTTCACTCTAGCCCCTAGTGAGTTAGTGTCCATGAAGTCCATCTTAATGAAGTAGAGGAAAGGGTCTTCAGGAATATAAAAGATTTACCCTGCTTAGCATGGAGCTGTGTGCAATGTGAAATAGAGAGCAAGCGGTGCATGTGCTGATATTTGAAAAGATCTGTGGTTTAAACAGCCCCGTCTAAGAGAACGCGGACCGCGTTTGGAGCTGGCTTGGAGTGCTGAGCGCTGCGGAGCGCCGACAGCTCACCACCGGTTCTTCCTGTAATAAAAACACTGTGGCCTTTTTACCTATTTATTTCTGCTTCCTTTGAGCTTTGGGTTTACTGGTATGCGACAGGAAAAAAAACCCAAGCATATGTTTGGTTGCTCAATCAACCTTTTCTCAATCCACACTCGGTGATCTCAGTGAGTCATTACGGCATAATTACAATCTGAGTGTGAGACGCTGTTCGTAGAAAAGTATCTATTTTTAGCTGAAGAAACACTACAGTCCCTGAAAGGAGAAGAAAAGAAGAAAAAAAGGAAGGAAGAAAACCTGTAACCGGCAAATCAATGCTATTGTTAACTGATATTACGAGACACCCTGTAGATTTACAATGTTTGCATTCAGCCACGTAAAAACAGCACTGAAAGGAATGCCTACCAGGGGTTAAATTCATGTGCCTGCGCTGCAGCCTATTTCTGTCAACACTCAGCTCAGGAAATAAACATTTATGCTTTCTGAAATGAAAGTGTATTTTTGAAGACTGGCCGTCAGATATTTTTTGCCCTTCACACTTTCAAATGCTTAGCCTTTTTTGTAAGTTGACTGCAAAGTGCATCAGTTTGCTAGGCAAAAAGGGAAAAAAAAAATCTTGACAAGTGCCCATGGCATCATTGTCAAGCACACGAGCGTCTAGTAGAAGATGGCAGGAGGGTTGGCACAAAACATGCTTCCTTCAAGCTTCTTACCTCAGGGGTACCTGACTCTTGAGAAGCCTTTCAGTCCTTCCAGATGACGTTATTGCAGACTGTCAACTGGTTTATTTGGAGTGCGCTGTATCGCAGATAAACATGCTATTTAACTGCGGGTCAAGGTACAGAGTCATTCTGCTAGCAAATGCCTGAGATACATTAAATGGCATTGACTTGGGGAGGGAGATGGAGAGAGATCAAAGTTGTCACCGATATGGTACGTGCTAAGGGGGAAAAAGGTACACAGCATTGTATTTTAAAAAGCCATTATGCAGTTCTACATTTAAAACAATGACCTGCCAGACTCTTAAGGATTAAGGAGCCACACAATGCATGACAAAGTTCAAAACCACACCATCATGCAGCATCTCAGGGCAGTTTGGAAAGAGCTTATGGTTGTGACTGGGAAGACTCCCACCAACCCAGAGACCTGGAAGTGTATTTACATCTAATTTGGAGACTTTTTAAAAAATAGTTAACATTCTAAAATAGAGCATGTCCACTTGTCACAGAACGTGGCTGATCTAGGGGATTCGTATAACAAAAGCTCAGAGCATCAGGGCACAGTCTGGCACGAAGTATAACCTCCTCTGAACAATTAAAAATAAATCTCTGTGTACAAATACATGTGCCTTAGTCTGTTCTTTTAACTGTGACTTGCTAAACAGCTATTAAAAGGGCGTTGGTGTGATGCAAGAGACATGCTAGATGCTTTCAGATTTTCTTAAAAATCAAAACAAAGCAAAACCAGTTTAATTACAACTTGATGCGGCTTTATATTCCCACGAGAGATACCTTTTAAAGTTAAAACATGCTTTCACTGAGCAGGCATTCAAGGGAAAGTTACTTCAATCAGGAAGAAAATAATCATGTTTATTTGATTTATTATTGGAGAGCAGAACAGCGTGGTTTATATTTGCCAGTTTTTCTATAATGTGAAAAATTTCTTTTGATTTTTTATGTGTCATACAAAAACAGTTAGTATATTTACTGCATCAGAATGCAGATTTTTCAAGAGTGCAGTACAATAAATTATAGGCAACATCCCATTTTCCCCCCTCACAGGGATATGTAATTGCCTTTGACTGTGGCACACAATAAATGTTACTGAAACATAGCATTATTTATTAAAACAAACAAACAAACAAAACAAGAACAAACCTGTACTAAAATAGATAAGTAAATAAAAGAAGGAAGTTGGGAGTTTTCAGAAAAAAAATAATAGAGAAAAATTGCAGGTTAAACTTTTTTTAATCAAAGCTGATTTTATTGCCTTTTGCTTAATTAAACTCCTCAGAAGTGTGCGAAACATTGTTATACCTGAAAAATTGTTAATTTGTAAATCACAGGGACAAAAGGGCTCCACTGCAACTTTAAAGTTTCTATGCACGTAAATGTCAATAGAGTGCCTTCTCCATCATCAGCACTAAATTCACATTGATGCCTCTTTTCTTCTCTGTATTGATCCTTCCATGAGAACGTAGATTTGTATCTGTTAATTAATGCGTCCTGAAACAGCGTTTGTATTAATCAGGCAGATAAGAAAAATTGGATGCCTGCACCCTCATGACAACCGTAAAAGTGCTGGCCCTGATAAAATCGTGGATGGACCTCAATAAAAAAGTTCCTCCTTCCACTCAATAAACTAATCATCCTGCTTTTAATTATTCGGCAGAAAGATGTGTGGAGATTGGAGAATGTGTAAATCTATTTACTAACAGCAGTGTCTGGGAGGGAGAATGGGGCTGTCACAGGACGGTGCTGCAGGCTACGTTCTCTGTCCATCTGCTACTGCAGAAAAACTGGTTCTTGAAAGACAGGAAGGAACAGAAATGTTGAAGCTAATTGAAATCATGAATTCCTCCCTATAACCTTTCAAATGATTATTTCTTCTCCATTTCCCTCTTATTTATTTTAATCACAGATGTGTTGTTTTCCATTGTCACCTCTTCAAGGGTTTCCTGTTGTTGTTGGCTCAGTTTTTGTTGGGGTTTTTTGAAGGCAGAGAGCTACAGTTCTATCACAAGACTCAAAAGACACTAAGAGAAAATGAGAACAAATAAGGAGGGGGAGAAAAATGAGAGAAAGCGAGCATGCAGCCAGTTTTATGTTTCATTTTTTATGGATGCCTGGTGGTTTGGATGTGGGGTTTTCTTTTTTATTGTATTAGTTTTGCCGCTTAGTGCTTATAGAGAAAATCTTGTTTGGAGTAGATGCCTTGCAGATTTGTATGATATATTCCTGCTTGACTGTAACTCTCGACTTTCGAAACAGAAAAATGCATTTAAGTGTAATTGAACACCAAAAAGAATGTTCTTACATCAGGAACCCTGTCAAAGGACATGTAAGCAGCTCCATAAACAACTAAATGAAAGCCTCAGACATGTCTTAAGACCCTTTAAGAAAAGCTTGGCTAATCCCCTTTGATGATTTTATTAAGTACTTGTGGTTGATGGTGCCAACTGGCAAACTACTGCATTTCACCAACAGGCCAGGAAAAACACTTCCTCTCCCATATTGTTTTGTAGCTCCTAATGTGATTGGGATATTAGCAGTTTGATATAATAAATTAACAGATACTGTAAACAAGAGTCTGGAAAGGTAAGGCAGTAAAGATGTTTGCCCTTAGCGATCCTATTAGGAAAGACAGCAGGGGAAGAAAAAAAAAAAAAGAGCAAAAGTTAAATTCATTAAGAGGCATTTATTAAATTTTTAGTTGCCCTCAGAAAAAGGATGATGTGACTGCTACTCAGTTAGCACTTTAATATGCCACCCTGTTATTTCAACAAGTGCAGTAGAGGCGGGAGCCATTATAGAAGTAATTAGCATCTTTTCTGAGGAGGGTGGGTGTTACTTCTCTTTCTCCTGAAGTTAAAGTTCAAAGAGAATTTTCCTCTTTGTGATAAACACCTTAATTCCATTAAAACATCGAATCTTCCCTTTTAAAAAAATTTATTTTTCTCTTCTAAATTTTCCATCTTGGTTTATGGTAATGATGGACAGTCATCAGATCCCTGTTAAACAGCATCAGGTTTTAGAACTAAGCATGAGTATTTCAAAACAAAGAAGATATCACACGAATTGCAGACTATCACTGCAATGCTCCCCAAATTCATATGATTCTTAAAGAAAGAGCTTGCAGATTCCAACTTCTTTATAACTGCATACGTTAATTAGAAAACATTTTATTTTATGTTGATTTACTTTCCTGTAATAGAATGGGGAGGAGAGGCACAAAAGCAGATGGGAGTATAACAGAGTACATACATGTTTTATCAAAATGTGTGTAAAAATAAAACAAAAAGAGGAACAGATTTCTGACAAATCCAAATGTGCTCAATATTCTTCCTGTATTTTTCTTCCTATTCAGGATTCTCCACTTTGTCTCTAGCTGACCAGATGAGCCTTCTGCAGAGTGCTTGGATGGAGATTTTGATTCTCGGTGTTGTATACCGGTCACTTTCTTTTGAGGATGAGCTCGTATATGCTGAAGATTATATTATGGATGAAGACCAATCCAAATTGGCAGGCCTTCTTGACCTTAACAATGCCATACTGCAGCTGGTAAAGAAATACAAGAGCATGAAGCTGGAGAAAGAAGAGTTTGTCACCCTCAAAGCTATAGCACTTGCTAATTCAGGTTGGCAGAGTGGCATGACGGTTGCTACATTTTTAATATGTCACTTTTTTTTTTTTTCATCTCCGTAATACTTTCTGCATGCTTGTTTTAAACACGGTTTTAGAATAAGAAATTGCTAATCAGACCTTAGCCTAAAAGGCAACAGACAAAGCAGTTCAAACTTAAGAAGAGTTTTTTGGTTTTAAGTAACTGAGGAATAAGTTCTGAAGTGAGTGGAATACTGTACCGTGTGATTTGGAGAGTATATTACAGGCAAAGATCCTTTGACGTGAATATAGATGTTGTTCTCCTAAGTGCATTCCATAATCCAGGCAAGTCTAACCGCTGCAATTAAAACGAAGAGAAAGGGTGCATGAGAATATGCTATATATGTTCTCTTTTAAGGCAGCTACTGATTTATTTGATAGGATGTGGGAGGAGGGAGGAAATTCTTACTGAGTCTCACAGGCACCGCACCTTACCTTACGGATCCTCTGCATCGATGAGGATGCTCCTGCAAAAATTATTACCTGTGCAGCAAGGGTTAAAAATCTCAGAAAGAAAATTTTTTTCTGCATTTGAATTTAAAAGTGCTGAAGCAGTGAATACTGTCAGATAAGTAAAAATCGTTTGTGCTTTGTTGTTTTTCCTTTTGTGTCTCCTTAATGCTTTATTGTGGTCTTAAGTCCCTTTTAGCATTTGCATAAAGTTCACGATAGATCCCTCTTTAATGACGTGCTGATCATTAGATACCTGTGTGTCAATAACATGCTCTGATGCTATGTTCCATTGACAGTCACACCGTGCCCCTCCATCTGCTTTTGTTTTGACCCTATCTTTGAACTTTATCTTGGTTGCTGGCCAGTAGTTTTCCCTTTAATTACAAGAAGGAAACTGTCAATAAAATCTGTTAAATGGGATGCAATGAGTGGCTTGAATGGGCGGACGGCTATTTGTTCAAATTCTGCAGCATTCAAGGTATTGACAGTTTGTTTTCTGGGGCCATATGTGACGATCAATCTCAGGCTGGGCTCAGCCGCGCTGAAAAATGAAAAACCAGATTGCTTTTGCTTACTTGTGGATGACGACTTGTGATTTGGCGCGGTCCTAGTGAGATGAGACCTTCTGCCCAAATTGCCCCCCTGAGAGCCAGGACGCGTGACTGTTTTTAGAAATAATTTTTTAATTGATTTTGTAATTAACAGTTCATCTACAATATTGATGCACGAATCCTCAGATTGATAGGAGGGAAATTGTTTTCAACAATGAAGTTGTACTTTCCTATTTGTCTTTGTAATGTGATTTAGCACTTTGCATTTTTAATTGGAAATATAATTCAAAAACATGCAAAGCCAAAATGCTTATTAGTTTCTTTGCAAAATATTCTCCACCCCGCTAACTCTGCCCTTAGTTGTAGGATATTATCTTATTCCACAATAATCAAAATGCTGAAATGCCTCTCAAAGATAAAAATTATTTTTCATCGAAGATTTATTTATAATTTTTGACCATTGTGAATAGGCACTTGAGGATGCTTTGCAGCTGCAAGAAGGATTTTTCTCAAAATTGGTCATGCTTAATGAACAGAACAAGAAAGTTATCCGGAATTAGGAGTCTAAATTGAGAGAATTTTTTGTATTTGATTCTGTAATTCAAAGACTGCGTTAGAAATATTTCTATAGTTTACTTGATAAAGGGGGTAAAGGACTAGAATATAGGGCTATGGTGTTAAATACTACTCACACTTTTTTTTCTCCCCAAAACAGACATGCAGTGCTTTAGTAATAATAAAAGATACTGCTGCCAGAAAAAGTTTAGTCGTGCGTTCTGTATAGAGTGTATCAAAATCATCTGTAGCTTCATTAACTTTGTTGGGAATTACAACCAGGATAATGTCAGCATACTAAAATTCGGGGCCCATTTAAATGAAAACATTTCCTTCCCTCATCTTAAAAGAAATAAAATTGATGTTTTAAAATGAAACTGTTGCAAGGAGGTAGAGTTAAAAAGCAGCCCAGCCATTTGACTTCCCTTTCAACAGAATGTTTTGACTGCTGACATTTAACATTTCAGCTTCAGGTTGTACATGCAGCAAACCTCTATCAGCTGTAGCTACCCTAACTTGTAGGTGTAAAATACCACCTGCAGAATTACAGCTCATCGAAGAATATCAGACCTCTAGTGTTTTAATTGACAAATGCTGCTAAAATTAAAATAAAATTAAAGTTTTTGTCTTTTTTTATAGGCAAAACCAGAAATAGCTTATTTTCCCATAGCTGTGAGCTTGATTAATGTAAATGCAGCTATATCTGAAAAAAAAGAAATAAAATGCCATTATAAAATCAATCACATTTTAATATGTTTTGTTCTACATCTGCTTTCTTCTAAAACTTCCACTATTTATTTTTCTGGTTTAAAATATAGTGGCCTTTTTATATCTGTAGAGAGAATGGATGACGTATAATAAGAAATCTTAGGCATTTCAGACATTTTTGCCATATCCACACTGTCTAGAAAGATTCCCAGGTTGCCTCTACTGTAAACAGTAGGCAAAGATGGGTTTATAGCTCTGTGTCTGTGTTAGTGATTTATGATACAGTGTCATAGTACTTTCCCTGCCTGTGTATAGAAGCAGAAAAAGAAATTGTAGATTGTCCTCGTATTGATTGTATTTTGTTTAAATAAATACCACAAGCTGTGTTTTGGCCAACAAATCTCAGTATCATGAGCATTAAAACACCCCAGCTGCTAACTTTTCTTTAGGCCTACAGAGGCTACTTGTGCAGTACTCGATCTGAGTTAATCCTGCCTCTTGGTTTCTAAAAGGTGGGGAGGAAGAGCCGTTTTTCAGGGAGATTTCTCTGACAGCAGTTATCAAATGTTCCCTTTGCAGGGTTGGCCAATGCCACGCCGCTCCTATAAATTTCCAGAAATGTGAGAAGTAGCCGCCTTCTAGATTGCCACTGATTTCCAACAGGAGTACACGTAGTGCCTGAAAAGTTTAAATACATACATAAGAGCACGAATGTGGTATAGGCATTTTAATCCCATGTATGTTAAAGTCTACCCAGGCATGATGTCAACAGTTGGCGTTTAGCTTGTGGTGCTTAATACGGAATTTATCGGATTAGTTTTAAACACCTGCATTGATTCGATAGCAGTTAGTACAGCCTTTATGCTTGAACTGCAGAGAAGTCCCTCTCGCCACGGCATTGCCCTTGTCCTCTCAGTATCCCGAGTTCCTTCCTCCTACACAAAAGCAAGCAGGTACCTCGAAGCCGCAGGATGCAACTGCCCTGCGTTCCACCTCACGCCGCCCAAATGGAGCAAGCTGGCACCAATGAGCACTTTGTTTACCCATGCAGAAAATCAACTTTGAATGGTTTCCAAAACATGCATGTACCAATTACTTCCTCTTGTGTAAGGGAAGGTGAAATATTTACAAAATATGTTTGAAGTGTACACAAGTGCGCACACGCACACGTGAACGCTCCAGCACAGAAAAGATGACCTGCTCGTCTCTTCTGTATTAGAAAATGCTTTCATGTATCGATTAGGCAATACTAAACAGGGAGTTGCAGGTGAGCAGTTTTTTGAAATTGCCTAATCAGTAAGGACTAAATTGTGCCTTCAGGCCAAACATTGCAGAAGAGCTTAGGAGTCAGAACTGAGACCAGGTTTTTAAGAGAAGCTCGGTTCCTATCTAAGACCTGACATAAGGAACTAGAGTGTCAAAATACATTAGCACATTTGAAAATCTGATCCATGTGTATCTGCCTAATAGGCTGCTGGCATCTTGAAAAATCTGACCCAAATGTGGATGCTAGGCACTTAAAAGTAAACCCCTGTGCACTGTTGAAAATTTAATCTTAAATGCTAATACTTGCTGTCTAGTCTGTACAGAAAAGGAAGGAGAAAAAGACCTCCGCTCACCATCACCATTTCTGATCTCTCTTATTAACTCTCCTAAAAAAAAACAAACAGCACTCTTCAATACTGAAGGAGTGAGAACCAGAAATACCTTGTGCATTTTAGCATAACAAAGCATAGATCAACATTGATGCCAGTAAAGTTACACAATCGTCTATCCTGGTAAAAAATCAGTTGGTCCTTACAACTTATTTAACTTTCCAGCCACCAAAAAAGTTCACTCAGAGCACTAGGCTATCACCATTAAATAATATTATCATAATAAAAATTAATTGGTAGAACCCTATAAATCACTTATTCCACAGGACATCATCTTTATTCCCAGTATAGATTGTAGCTTATCTTTTGTCACAACATACTATATTTAGTTTCTAATAATGTCACTTTTTTTATTTATTTTATTTTATCATCTTATTAGTGTTAGAATTCATGATTAAAATATATCTATCTTGAATAGGCATATATAAAATATATATATACAGCTGTATTATTGGTGTGTTATTAATGTTTATTTTGCCAAATATAAATGGCAAGGTCGGTTAAATCTTTCATGTAATTTTCTATAGAGTGATACAGCATAGAAACAAATTTTTGGAAAAGAAAGTTGCTGCTATAGTCAGAGTTCTCATGTTGCTTGAACGCAGTTTCTTCCTTACATTCTATTTTCCTGTACTGCGATAGATGGCATCCACAATTCTTAGAGAAAATAAATAACTCTGCTACCATTTGCTTAGTGCTAGCGTTAAGCAAATGGTAGCAGAGTTAATTAATGGTTTGATTCTTTTTTTTCTTTTTCTGGTAGTTGGTCTAGTGACTGAATATCTTTGAGATATTCCTCACTTAGTTACAAAATAGGTAGATATTATTTAGATGTTAGCAGCCTGAGACTGAGGAAGGGCCAGCGGCAAGGCCAGCCCCATGGCAGGCAGGAGGACGGAGCCCCGGATTCCCCACAGCTGGGGCAGGGCTGTAAGGGCAGTGCTGTGCTGCTGAAAGGCGGATTTTCCGGGTAGGGAAGCAGCGGTATGAGCCACCGTGTCACTGATGCAATTGCTAGTCTTCGCTGTTTTTCGTCCTGCTTTTCCACAGCA